GGGAGGGGAGGGGAGGAAAGAGACGAGAAGTAGAGAGGAGGGGAGAGGAGGGGAGGAGTCTGTGGAAGCATGACAACGAGTCAGGCGCGGGAGGCGAACGAGAGTCAAGCCTTTGCGCAGCATCGCGACTCCATGCAGCGAGTGCGATAAGTTGCGTCTCTCGGTCCCTAGGTGAGTGTGAAGCAGGCGCGAAGTCAAATCAACCAGCAGAGTGAGGAGCTGGAGAAGTTAAGATCAGAGGTGAGGCAGTCGAGCTGGGAAGACTTGAAGTTGGTTGACACTTGTCAAGATTCTTCAGCTCCGATCAGAGCTGCTGTCAGGTCTGCTGGGGCCCCTGCTGGAGTCTGTCGGTGATGAGGAGCGAGTTGACTAAGTTGCTGGCAGAGAAAGCCAAGAGGGATCAAGCTCTCAACGAGGCCTCGCGTGAACGCTTCTCTCTCCTAGAGGAGATCGACAAGGTTACCCCCCCCCCCCCGCCCCCCCCCCGCCTTTCCTCTCTTGCCTCCACCCACCTCATCGCTTCTCCTCAATGGCTTTTCCTGCAGCTCCAGAGGAGGCAGGAGCGCGACCTCCGCGCGGACGTCGAGGCGCGGGACAAGGCCATAGCGGCTCTGAAGCAGAGGCTGCAAGCAGCTGAAGCTGAGCTGGAGGGGGCGAAGGCTCACGAGGCCCAGGCAGTCAGCAAGCTGGAGAGGGAGCTAGAGCTGATGAGGGAGCGGATGACGGCAGTTGGACGGGGAGAGCTTCTGTTCCAGGTTTGATATACCCTCCTCTCCCAGCTGTTCTGCACCGCATCGAGCTGCACCTCTGATAGGCAGGCAGGTGGGGAATGCTCGCTCCATGAAGGAGCTAGAGGTTGAGATGGAGGAGCTGAGAAGGGAGAATCTCAATCTCAAGATCCTTGTGGGAGATCTCGAGCGCGACAAGGCAAAGGTGTGAGAGCAGGGAAGCAGCGAGAAGAGAGGAGGGGGCTGTGATGGGGGGCGAGAGGAACGGGGAGAAGAAGAAGAGAGGGAGAGGGAGGTGGTAAGGAGAGCCTGGAGCTCACTTCAGCAGCAGCTCAACAGCAGCTTGGAGGCGATCGAGTTCTCCTATCTGCCGGATTGACTAGTTTATCTATCAAACACAATCCCCTTGCTCCCCCTTCCCCTCGCTAGCCTTGTTCTTCTTCATCCTCCATCTCTCCGGGCAGCACCGTGTCATTCTCCCTCCCTAGCGCCTCGCAGACTTTGCGGGAGAGGTGGATGCTCTGGTGGACAGCCGAGCCCTCGGCAAGCTGGGCTCTCACCATCGCCTCCCCCATCACGTGGTACCTGGGCTGCAGCCTGCCCATGACCCCAGCGACGCAGTCGCCCATGGCGAGACCGATGCGGCACTGGAGGCTCCCGCTGCTGGTCTTGAAGTCGGAGGAGGAGACGCACTTGAGGATCTGGCAAGCAAGATGTAGCATCCTCTCGCACGCCATCCTCTCGCTCTTCCCGACCCACCCGGCACACACGTAGGCGTCCCCGATGGTATCCATCTTGAAGACTCCTTCCTCCTCTGTGACGAGGCTGTCGAAGGCGGAGAAGAGCGAGTGGATCAGCTTCGCCACCTCGTCAGAGTCCATGCTGGCAACCAGCTCGGTGTAGTTGCAGAGGTCCAGGTGCAGCACGACGGCTCGCCTGTGCTTGGAGGAGATACTCCCCGTGTAGAGGATTTCCTTGGCGATGTCCTCCGGGAAAAGGTCGTTTAGAGTCTTGAGGATGAACTTGTACTGCTCCTTCGCTGCCTGTGCGGTCATCCAGTTCAGTCGCTCCTGCGCGCCCTCGAGCTTGAGGAAGAGTCCGCACAAGCAGGCCATGACGAGTACGATGAGGAGGGTGAGGCAGGCGAACCGCTGCCAGAAGAAGAGGATGTGAAGGGCAGAGCAGGAGAGGCTGCAAGCGGCAAAGAGAGCAAAATCCTTGACGTTGGCTGAGATGAGGAGCAGGTTGCAGTATGAGAATATCGAGTTGAAGATGAGGGCCTGACCGGTGGCATTGCACAGCAAGGAAGACAGGAGAGTGAAGATCCAGAAATTCCATTGACAGAAAAGGATGGTCTTGTACCAGTAGCAGATTATGCTCGATATGCTGCAGGAGTCTGAAGCAACGAATGGGCAACATCTGAACTGATTGGCAACGTTGTTCCAGTATGCCGTCAAGCAGTTGCCAAGGTAGTGAAGTTGCAGGAGGGTGTGAAAAGAACACAACATTATCACCGTCTTTCTCTGGGAGTCCGATCTTTCATCTCTCAAGACGTCCAGCTGCAGCAGCGAGTGTGCAGTGATGACCGAGACTACGGCATTGCACATCTGCCCCATGACCAGGCATCTGAAGCTGATCAAGCAGTTGCTCTCGATGAAAGCGTCCTCCACCTTGCGATCCAAGAAGCTGCTCCACTTCTGACTGACTTCATATCCAGCACAAAAAATCCCCTCACAGTCATCTTCATCCAGAAACTCCCTCCACACGTTCAAAACTTTCGTAGCTTCCTCACCCTTCTGCCCGGAGTTGGAAGACCTGAGGGACGCGATCGACGTAGAGCAGGAGGAAGACACCGACAAGGTTCGGATCTCCGAGTCGATCTCATCCCCCCGCCTCGACATTCTCCTCGACGAGCACATGGTGATCATCTCCGGCTCGAAGTAGGGCTCCTCGTCCACCTGGAGGAAGAACGTCTCCATCACCCCCTTCCCCTTGATCGCCATCTCTCCTCGTGACTCGACCTTGATCGTCCCATGGCTTGTGCCCCTCAGGATGTTCGCAACCTGGGCGGTGCAATGAATCCTTCCGGGCTCCGAGTAAGCGCACATCCTAGCGCTCGTGTTCACCACGTCTCCGAACAAACAATAGAACCTCCGGTGGCAGGAGATCACTGCCCCGGTCGCAGGTCCGATGCTCAGCCCGATCTTGGCCCACAGCTGCTTCCCACTTGTTGATCGGTGCATCCTTGCCCTCTCCAGCAAGGAGTGCGCGAGCTGGATCATGCGGATCACTGACAGCTCCTGGTACGACTTGGCGTGGGAGGGATCGCGGAACGGACACGCGGACCTCGGGCAAGCAATTACATACGAGTCCTGGATGTGATGATACTTGAACATGCCGTAGAACTCAACGATGGCATCGAAGTCACTGAAGATCTCATCGATGAGATCGAAGTCCTCCATGGCCAGCTGCTTCTTGTCTTTGAGGACTTCGGGAGCTAGGCTCAAGAACATGATCGTGCATTGCTCCATCTTATTTCCGACCAGCGCGAGAGGATCTGATTGTTTCATACGGGCGTGCAGGTTCTTGGGGATGATCGAGCTCATCAACTGATGCGCCTTTTCACGCGAAGCCTTGAGCGCGAAATCGCGGAGGAAGCAGCTGCGAGAGGCTTCGAAGCGCTCGTTTCGCAAGTATGCGCTGCACAGCGAAGTGACAAGATGCAGAACGACAGCAGCAACCATCGAATGGTAGTTGATCCCGGCCATCAGAAAGGCAACAAGCATACTGAATGCTTGACCCAGACTGATCAAAACAGCAGCACGTCCATCGACATTCGCAGCTATCGAGAGCAGAGTCCCCATGACAGTGTAGATCCCAAGTGCATCAGGAGAGACCATGCGAGAGACGCAGCCTGCATCTTCGTGCGACAGTTCGGTGTGGTGTTTCCAGATGGATGATATCGGGTCGCTGTCACTGCATGACCATTTCCACGGGAGGCCCTGCCGGTGATTTACCTCGAGCTTCACATGCGGCGAGACAGGCAGCGAGCCCCTAGAGCGCTTCAAGTCACCAATCGCTCGCTGAGCCAACTCCAACTGCATCAGTAGGATGATCCAAAATGTCAGAAGGTTGTCCTTGTTTCGATGGGTTCCCAGGAAGTTCTGAAACGATGGAATTCTGTACATGAATTTCAAAATAAAGCACGTAGACGCCGCAGAAAGTCTGCAGAATGCATGGTAGAAGTCAAGGTTCTCATGTGCCGCGGGAGATTGCAGAATCCAGGGACGAACTCCGAGGAAGAGAGAGTAAATGCCGAGGATGATCAACAGCTGACCGAAGGTTGACTTGTGCTCGTCGAACGAAAACCTTCTGAACCTGATCTCGTGCTCTTCTTCTTGAACCAGAACCGATCCAGATTCAGATCTTATCTGACGAGCAGGACTTAAACGTTCCGTCCCACCATTCTGATGAAAGGCCATGGCACCCTGGCTTAGACAAACATTACCCTGACAAACAAATATAAGTCAGCTAGAATTCAAATGAGCAGGGTTACCCCTTATCATATCCCCCTATTCAATGTCATGTCCATGGTTCCGATCAGTCAACCGTACATTCTTGCTGATGCTTCTCAACACTTACACTGCATTCCCAGCCTGGCCTCACACAAACACCCTTTTTCTTTTCTTGAATTTGTTCCTCACGTGTATACTCTGACAGAGTCCCTATGCACCTTCTCGTGTATATGATTTGACGTCTGATGAAAGATGGTATGCTTGCTTGATGTTCTCACTTCACAGGTCTATTGATCTTTGCTACTTCATTTGTCCCACAGCATGTGTTCCCAAACTTGCATAGATTTCAGTCCGAGTTCGTGCTCGTCTCTCCTGTCCCTGTCTCAAGATCTCTGCTGCAGTCCTTCCCAGTCCTCTTCCTCCACTGCTCTTCTCCTCTTCTTTTGCCCATCGCCAGCGCTCGTTCTGCTATCCTGCCTCCTCCGCTGCTCCCTGCCCTGCTTCCTGTGCTTCCTCACTGTCGATTTCCTCCAGTGCAAAATCGATTCTTTTCAATCCGACATTTTGAAGGGGGGGTGGGGGTCCTTGAGGAGCATATGGTGGGGTCCGCTCTCAGTACCTGTCAAAGGGGTGACCGGGTGGGTACTGCTAGGGTTTCCTGCGGGTGATGACCCCATATCACGAGATAAATTCGCTGTTAATTAGAAAGTGGGGTGGGTACGGCACGGTACCCCCTCATGAACATCCGAAACAGTTTTTAATTAGGGGGTAGGGTGCTAGAAGAGGCCGGAGCTGACACCATCCGTTGCGGTTTGCTGTACTATGGCAAGCAAAGTACCCCTCCCTTACCCTCCCATAAATTCACGAGACGGGTAGGGTGGCTCTGGACATGATTTCCGCTACCCCTACCATACCAGATCCAGATGAGAGGAGGGGTCAATTGTGAAACCTAAAACTGATGGGGTGTAGGGGTCTAAAAGAGGCATCAGGACCGGTGGTGGTTCCACCTGCCGTGACAGTAGTAGTTTGAAGCACAAAAAGTAGCTAGCTAATTGAATTGAGAATGATGAATCTCAGCGCAAGTAACGTCTTCATGGCGGCACGGCAAGGACGGAAACCGGAGGCCGAGGACGCGATGATAACGCAAAGAGCCTCACGAATGTGCACTCAATTGGTTCCATACTCAAGAAGTGGCACGGTTCAGTCCGTCCCACCGGATTGCGTCAGAGAATCATAGGAATGAAGGATAACGAACAAGTTCGAAGCTAATGGTGATAGCAAGAAAGGATTTCAAAGGCATCTTTACTTTAGGAATCGCAACTAATTTGTCAGAGAAGATGTCTACAACATCACAGGCTCCCATGTCCAGACGTATTTGCAGTCCTTGCAAAAATCCTCCATGCTTCCTCACAGTTTCAAGTGAGGTAAGGTGTCCCTTCATGTATGCTCTCATCCTGGACTTGTCTGGCGTGCACAAACTCAGAGTTGGCAGACTCGTTTGAGGAGCCCTCGTTGAAGTGACTGATGTCAGCATAGCAGAGGATGTCTCTCATTTCTGCCTCCTGACTGTGGCTCTCCGACTGACTTTCTTCCTGCTCCGACACTGACGACTCATCCCCGCTCGTAAGCACCTGATCCTCGACGACGGCCCGCTCCCCCTCGATCGCTGGCGGCCTCTCGTCAGCATCGACCTGACGTGGTTCGAAAACGAACGAAGCGACTTGGAGTTTCTTCCTGGAAGATCTGAACCTCCTGAACACGAAGATTGCAACCAACATGACAAAACCGCCAATCGAGACAACAACTGCAAATCCTGCAGATGTAACAAAGTTGAACTTGGAAGTTGGCTCGACGGTACTGGTGGGAACAGCAACAATGATAGTGGGGGAACTTGAAGGGCCGAGTGTGATAACAGAAAGAGTCGGATATTCCAAGATCTGCACATTCTGAAGCCCTTGTCCTCTCAGAGCCTCTAGAAGCTTCTCTGACCCCAGGTTAGATTGCACGCTCTTCCATTCCGCGTTCAGCTCAAGGAAGACTTGATAGCCCACATCGTACTCTACAGCCAGTGCCCGACGAGCTCCATGCACCTCCCGTATGTACGTGATGTTCACGCTACTGCTGTCAACCCCTGCTGCTGCCGCCAACCCCAATATGAACTTTGCTCTCATATTCTCATTCAGGCTGCTCCCCACCCGCACTGCTCCTGTCAGCACGAGCAACTTCGTCCCAGTCGCTGTCCCGTCAGCCGTGTCGATGCACACAGCGTCTTGCGACGCCGAGTTCTCCCCACAGCTCACGAGCTGGCGCTGGTTTGCTCCACACCTCGTGCATGCGACACAGCTACCTCTGCCTCCCCCGCCGCACGCTGATCTGCGGTAGTCTTGGTTGCAGTACAGCTGAGAGCAGGCGGCGCATCGTCGGTTCGCGGAGGGCGAGCAGTCCGTCAGCATGTACTCGCTCTGCGTGCACGTGGAACACGTCAGGCACTCTCCCCGGGACCCGTTGCCGCAGCCAGACAAGTACTGTCCTCCAGTGCAGTTCTTGCTCATCAACTCACAGTCGTACGTCTGAAACTCGCCGACCGCTATCACTGTTACACCTTGGAACGTGGCTGGCTGCTGGGCTAGCCTCCTTCGAGCCCCTGGTACTCCGACCGAGCATCGACAAGTCACCGTTCCAGCCGTCAGATCCACCCCTTCTACACTGCACCCGCTGTCTTCAAACCCTCCGTTGCTCCACCGCACACATCTCGCCACCAGCACAGACTGTGACGCAGTCACGACGGCCGTCCGGCTCACCGGCATCACGATCGAGACTTGAGATATCGGGTTGCTCACTGACATGGAAACTCCTATCAGCGGTGTGAGTGGAGTGGATCCGTTCACTGGACCGCTCACAGCTCCGTACATGTGAGCTCCTACTGTTACTCGCCCCGTCACTCCCGTCTGACCAGACGAGTATCGAAACGAGGCGTTCTTCGCCTGAAACATGCCCATCAACCCTGGAGGCACATCCAATACGCTCTTGCCTCCCACAACCCCCTCCACGTTGTCGGCAACCAATCGATGTGACGAGTACTGCTGTACGTACTGCACGCTTTGACCTGTTGCAAGGCTGACTGAGAAACCCTCCGTCACCGCAGCCGTGTTTGACGTCACCCGGTCTAGGATGGGACCGTCCGTATATGACCCGGTCTCCATCCATTTCATGGCGACACCGAAGATTTTCAACACATGCAGCATGATCCCTTCCACTGTCTCCCCGGCATAGCGCTGCAGCAGACCATCCACCTGCTCGACGATCTGCGAAACCGATGTGTTGCTCTGCAAGCCCAGCTCGCTCCCTACGCTCTCAAGAGTGCTCAGCGCATCGGACATGAAGTCCGTAGTGGCCGGATACGATCCGTACGTGGGCTTCAGCAGCGACAGCATGTACATAATCAGCGTACGAGAATGAGACAAGTCCGTCACATTTGCATTCAGTTGAGCCACAAGCTCCAGTGATACCGAAGTGATAAGCTGGTTGAGTCCTGCTACGTTCTGCGTCTGCGCCTTCTCGCTCATGTCCTGCGTCACGCTGGACCAGTCACTCGCTGCTTGTAACAGCCTTCTCCCCGTCGTCACGGTCTTGACGGTATCCTGCATGACGGACGTGGAGGCGCCTCTGCCGTCCGACACAATCGCGTTCATCTGGATGGCACTGCTTGACGGAAGCCGCATGATCAGGTAGGGCAGCGTCGTGGGCTGAAACCACTTGGTGATTGTCTCCCCGTCCTGCACGTAGGAGAACCCGAACTCGTACGTCAGAGGCGTGTCTGGGTCTATCCAGTTCGCGCAAGTAACGACGAACTCGTCCAGCAGCGGCCTACCTTGCTTCGTGCAGCTCCCAGAGTCTGACACCAGGCAGGCATAGCATGTCCCTCCCTGAGGAGGAGTGTTGACCAAGAAGCTCGACGACGATGTCCCCACGCTGCCGTTCACCGAGCACTCAACCGCTATGCTGTACGTCAGCCCCTGACTCAAGGCAGAAGACCCGCTCTCCATCAAGAAGATCGCCCCGTTGCGTCCGAAGGGGAACACCGACCCTACGTCGTAACCCACGTTGGGGGCGGGTGCGATGGTCCAGACATACAGAGCTGAAGGATAAGGACAAGAAGCCTCGTACACGAGTTTGTCTCCCTGGTTGACGATGCCCATGGCACCATCGTACGTCTGTACGTTTGACGTCAGCATCACCGCCGGCACGAAAGCTTTCGTGACTTGCACGCGCTTCGAGGCCGTTGAAGGAGTCTTGTCTCCCTTGGAGACTACCAGCGAGAACGTGTAGAAGAGCTCTCCGGTGTCCGTCAGCGACCCTCCCGGGACGACCAGCTGGGCCCCACTGGGAAGCTCAAGCAGTTGCTGATTCTTGTTCAAGCACGGCATTGAGAAGGTTCCATCCGAGAAATAGCAACTCCAGTCGTAGGTCAGCCCCTGGTCAACGCCTTTCTTCACGTCAAAGTCTCTTGAGCTGCTTGCATCCAACCGGAGCTCCGAAACCTCCGACATCTGGATCAGATCGCCGCCAGCTATTGCACCCATCAGCGGCAGGTTCCCTATTGTAAGAGTGAAGCTCGCCGTCGTAGAAACCGAGCTGTCTCCCTGCAGGCTCACGCTGACGTCAAACGTGTACGTGTTCCCAGCTTGTAGCTCATACTTGGGTATCCAGAGCTGCGACATGCTGCTTGGGACGTAGCTCGTAGACACGGCAACGCCGGAAGATTGCGACCACTGAAAGATCATGTCGTTCTTTGCTACTGGGCATGACGAGAACACAGCGGTTGCAGTGATAGTGACATCCTGATCTACAAACGTTGATAAGGGTGACTGAGGCGTGAAGACAACAGTAGGGGAAGGGAAGGCTTTCTTGGTTATCGACGTCACCGCCTCCTTGCTTGAGAAACCCAAGAAGTCCTTCACTGTCACTCCGATCGTGTATGTCTTCCCCGTCGAAGCCATCTCAGCCACTCCAGCTTCAAATTGTATGATGCTCGTGCTTGGCAGCAAGCTTGCAAGGAATGTGTTCAGCCCATCGTCGTTGAGACACCGCCACGTGTAGCTCAGCTGTCGAGCGCTCTTAGCAAGGGCTCGCACTGTGAGAGGCGAGCAAGGGTCCACCTCTTGTGGGGCGCTGATCTGCACCGAGGGGTACAGAGGAGAAAGAGGTTTCTCGACCCTGACAGCAGCAAGCATGGGCATCGAGACTTGATTTACAGACCGGATGCCTCTGACGGTGATGAGCGAGCTTGGCAAGACGGTGGCGCCGGGGGAGAGGAAGATGTTGAAAGCTTGATCTGTGGTCCACACGCATCTTGGTGCCGTCTGGCCGAGCAGACCCGCCTCGCTTCCCACGAAGCCATCGCATGAGGAGCCCGACGCCTGCACAAGGGACCGCCCGTCGGTTGCTTGATCCAGAGTCACGGTGATGAAGGCTGCGGTTGAGTCGAAGCTTGCTCGCGTCACCTTCGGGCTGGCCCAATACACAAAATCTGTGCGAGCAACGATCGATGGGTCAGACCTCATGGTCGCTTGAAATGTCACCGTCGACGACCCAGCCGATACTGTGCAAGCTGAGCATGTGTACTCGGGGGGGTTGACAGAGATGATGATCATTGTAGTGTTGCATGAGACAACTGTAAAGTCTGCACGCAGTGAGCCTATCATGATGACGAGCTGGTCTTGAGCCGCGCTCCTGGTGGTGAGAGGAATGTTCTTGATAGACGCTATCAGCGGCGACGGGTTCGTCACAGACGCTACGCATGACCTGGACACGCACTTGAGCTCCCTCCTGTCATCGACCACCTGCATCTGGAAGGCCACCGTCCAGCTCAACATCGAGCTTTCACTCGTTCGAAGAGACACAGTACAGGCAATGCTGCCGATCCCTTGAATCGCCGGGATCTTCGTTTGGAATATCGCGCTGTGAGCGTCAACCACCGTCACCGAGCGAAGTCCGCTGCTCGCGTCCACCACGCCTTCATCGCTTCCGAAGGTCACAACAAACCCAGCTGACCCTACAAATGTTCCATCCTTGGCGATGCTGACCGCTATCCAGTCTTCGATGTTTTCTACAGCCACTTCAACGATGTTGCCGTTCGACTGCTGGAGGTCTGACCAAGTCACGTACCCTGTCTGCGGAGACTTGCCGTTCCCGCACACGCCATTCACGATACACATGCTCCCGGGATTGCACGTCCTACAGAAGCGCACGAGCTTCACGGCTGGAGTTGGCTTGTAATACGTGAAAGACGTCGAGGCTTCTCTGATGAAGCCTCTCAGCGCTCCTGTGTTCACCTGCCGTACACTGACACTTGTTTGGCCCGAGTTCATGCCTCCCAGCACAGCAGATGCCGGAGGTACGACGATCTGCATCTCTGTGTAGGCACTTGTACTTGTCAGCCGCACGATCCCACAGTACAAGCTGCAGGACGGCAGCACACACTGGCATTCGACGCTCCCGAACTTCAACGACACCTCTGCCGGAGACTTTACGATGGGGAAGTTGACGATGGTAAGGGTTGTCATGTATGCTTGGTCTCCCACTAGGCTCGGGTACGTCCTACCCTGTGACGTCGCCACGTTGGGTACAAGGCTTGAGATCGCAGGTCTGTTCACGTAGTCGAAGTAGAACTTTGCCGATGAGAGGTCATAACCATTCCCTACTACCCCTATCGCACTTCCAATGCTTTGAGCTGCCGGTGCAACATACGACAAGTAAACATAGTTCCAGGGCGAGGAGTACTGACGTAGAGTCCATCCTACTATCTGCGTGCTCTGCACGGAAACACTCAAGTTGCCAGGTGAGGGCAGCAGCCCCCAGGCTGACACGTTCATCTGGATGCCTCCGTCTACCGGACAATCGACTGGATCCACTTGAGCTTGCGGAATCAGATACGCGAAGTCATTATATTGCACCTTCTTGGTGCCGTTAGCGATCTCAACGCTGCAAGCACCTGGTAGAAACGAGGGAGGGACAACAAAGCTGAGCTGAAGCAGTCCGTTGACAACACCGAGCACTACGCTAGCAGGACTCGAAGAAACCGATCTCACGGTGAAGGTGATAGTGATCCCTGCTTGCTCAGCCGTGCATTGCGAAGAGGCACATGGAGGCATAAAGTTCTCAACCAAGATGCTGGCCCTGGAAGATTGAGCTTGGCAGCTGACACTGCTTGGCTGCTTGCAGATGTACTGCGAAGAAGGTTGGAAGAGCCTAATCTTGGGAGCATTGCTCGCAACGTACTGAAAGTCAAAGGAAACCGTCTTGTACTGATACGTGACAGTGACCTGCGCTATCCCTACGTATCCCTGTAATGCTGGCATCAGGATATCTACGTCATGCACTGCACACTCCGGATACAAGCAGCTTGGGTTCTTCAGACTGATGCTCACTACACTGACCATCTTGACTTCGTTCTGTGTGGTGTGCAGGCTGACATTCAGCTCTGTCACCGAAGTACCTGGTCTCAGGTAAGCAACCGTGAACTGAACTGCGGTATTCACGTCCGTCGGCCCTGATGTTGGATAGAAGCGCATCAGTCTCGGAGGAGGAGTGTCTTGCACAGTGATTTGCATCTTCGCTCCTCGAGCGCATAACACTTCTCCAGTACAGTCCTTAGCACCAAGTCCGTACAAGGCACAGACTTCGAGCGATGCCCGATAGCAAACTGAAATCGATATCAACCCCACGGACCAACCCGACTTGGGGGCCGCTACACGTATCAGCAGGTTCGTGCTCTTGGAGTTTGACGCGAAGATGGTGCTGGTTGGCATGGACTGTTGACTTAGCGAGGAAGATGCTAAGCTATATAGGATTGACGAAGCATTGTAAGGGACCTTGAGCTGAGGTACGTTCACAAGCTCAGCTTGTAGAGTGAGATCATCTGTTCGCATGATGGACATCGGAGAGAATGATCGTACAGTTGCGTTCCCACTCAGCAAGCGAAGATATTGATACTGGAACGATGCCGTTCTGATTGCAGAACCCAAGGTCAACGTGAGGGTGACTGTTGCAAGCTGATCCTCATCGATTCTCACGGAAGGAATCGTCATCACTAGCGAGCCCGTGGAGCCTTGCAGGCTAGATCCTCTTGCTAGGCTCAAACTCTCCGTAGCAACAATCAGCTGGATGCCAGGAATCCTCAACATGATCTCGATGTCTGCAGGTTGAAGTGATGGGAAGTTACTAAACTCAACCAGCACCTTGTTCCCTCCAGTGGCCACACCAACAGTTTGATTCACAGATAGAATCGACGCGTCTGGAACCAATACTTGTTTCACGCAGAATTGTGCGTTGCATTGTGCAGCAGACACGCCTTGCAGCAGCAACACATCTGGAACCTCCTGCAGACTACAAAATGTCTCATAGTTGCACGGCAGGTACGTTGCTACTGAGCGAAGGTAGCTGCTTACCCCTGAGCCATTCCACACCATCAGCTTCACCGTCGCATTGCCCAGTGAGCTCAGAGGCGTCAGCAGCACCTTCAGCCGTGTCCGATTGCAGTCTGGGACCCCGGGCTGGCACGTGGCTTCATTGGAAAGCGAGACCACCTGTGATGTGTATCCATTCACTGTGACATTGAGCTGACCAGCTTTCAAGTCTTGCGGACAGTTGGCAAGAAGCAACGTGACCTCCGTCCTGTAAGCAAGGGTTCGTCCAAATACTGAAGTCGACACTGGCACTCCATCGGGATTCATGCTCAGGATTCTCAAGGCAAAGCCGTCGAAGAAGGTATAGTCAAAGTTGACAGATTTCACGAGGCTTCCTGATGTGACGTTGATGGACACAAGCACGTGCTCTAAAGCTGGATACGCTGGCAACTTGACACGTATCCTTGTCACTTTATCGTCAACCCTGCTTGGAGGAGAGTCTATACTCGCTGCCATGGTCACACTTCCTTTGACCCCAGCAGTCAAGGCAGAGTAGGTCTCCCAAGGGAAGTTCACAAGGTATATGTCTTCATACAAGGATGCGCTTTGAGCACTTCCCTGAGTGGGTATTGGATTCACGATTCCAAGTACACTCATATCCTGCTGGAAAAAGCTGAAGCGACTTTGCTGGCAGCTTGCTCCACATCCGGTCGCTTTCATGACAACCGCAACCTCCCCCGGTGCAGTCGCAGGCGTGATGATGTTGAGAACGCACGAGAGTCGCGATGACAGTTTTGATATTGAGACGGTTCCTGCAAGTCTGTCACACGTTGTTGCTGCTGGGGCATCAGTCAGGATGGTCGACCCGAATTGCACTGTGAGGCATTGTGACGGCACATCAATGCAGCTCTCGATGGCCGTAGGATACCGGAAATATCCAATCTCCACCTTGATGGCTTGACATCCAGTGCTCGGGCCAGACGTTGCAGAAACTGAGTTGAGCTGTTGTGGTGAAGCAATGTACGTGTAGTTGAAACGCACAGCTTTGAGAAGGTTGCTTGTCGGTAGAATGCGAACTTCCACTATCTGCTGCGCATTCGATCCTAGATCAAACGGCGAAGGAAACACTCTCACTTCCGTCACTTCAATCACAGACCTCAGCAAAAGCCAGTTGCTCGTCGACTGGTTCTTTCCTGCGATCTGTATTATCAGATTCTTCGTGGTCACCAAGGGAAAGTTTGCAATGCCAATGTCGATCGAGTTTCCTCCGGTATCCGGCCCCTGCGAGCTTGAGACATATTGCACGTAGGGCTCCCTGTCGTCATAATAACTCACTGTGAAGCAGTTGCTCACATACGGCCTACACGCGGTATCGCATGACATCTGCTGACAACACGAAGTAGGACAATCTACAACCCCATACACCAAGATCCCTCCTACTGTCCCTGCTGAAACAACCCCTTCGATCATATTAGCTTGCACCTCAAATTTGATGATCCTGTACGAGTTTCGGCGTTCAAGGATACCAACAGAACAGGGAAGCAGTCCGAATAGCTAGTGCAGTTGTTGCGATACCGATATTTGCCCACCATGATTGTGTATTCAGAAGGCATGACCGATGAATCGATATTCTCTATGAAAAGAGACACCCTGGTAGTGGTGCTTCCCTTGGCCCTGATCGTATTCACACCAGTATCGCCATACTCGTTCAGGATCAAGTAGATCCTCGCTTTTCTATCATTGAAGAATAGAAATGAGTCGAAAGTAGCTTTTGCATCAGTGTTCTTCACGTTCACCATGCTTGTAGAGTATCTCTTATGATACACAATGACATTCGCGTATCCAGGGGACACGGAATCACCGCTTGGGGATGACACATCGACGGTCATGGGACCGAGCATGTAAGACGCCTTCTGTCTCTGACAACTCTCCAGCCGTCCTGACAAAGAAGTCGCATTGGTCAGAGATGCGCTGACAAACAAGACTCCCACGTCCGTGCAGCCATTGCCTGCCGCGTCGGTCTCGGGAAAGTTTTGTATCGAGATTTGTATCCGCACTGGCTGCGACACTCCCCCTGTGGTGGGGAACATTGAAGCCACTTCAACGCTCGGAGCTGCAATGTACTGAAACTCCTGTAACTCCAACCGGAAAGTCGACGATCTCCGACTCAAGCTCCCAATGATTGTTGGCCTCACAGCAGCACTGGCAGACATCGGGGGCAGGAGAAACTGGATGGTCGCCAAGTTCGAACAGAACGGCGAAGCCTCGTATGTCACGCTTGATGCATCTATAGATTCGTTGGTTGGACTTATGACTATTCGCACAGCAGTGGCTGTGAGACCTGCAGGTACATTTGATAGTCGTACAATGTATGGAGTGTAGGAGAACCGATACCCCGACGAAGGAAAGGAATCAATCAATGTCACTGCTGTCTGGCTGATCAATTCTACCAGGAAGCTTGTGTTGCGAACACAAGGCGAATGCTGGCAAAGCATGACGTCGATACCGTATACACCCATCAAGCTTGGACCAGATTCTATCACCACATCCAATGAGATGATCTGCTTGCTGGTATCGTACTGCGGAGAAAGAGCCGTAGTATTCATGGAAGGCGAAGAGACTCTAGTGATAGGAAGGTCCTCAATCTGAGGGGAGCGGATTACTATTCGAGCCACAAAACTTCGTCCACTGCATCCTGAAGATGGCGTCACACTCACAACAGACGGGAACTCCCAGCAAGTGCCTTTGCTTCCATTTCCGCATCCAGCCAAGTAAGTGCCCGGAGGACACTGGATCTCCGAGCATTCGTGACATACTCGATTCGAATATAGCGAACATGCAGAGTACTCGTACTGCGTGCCTGAACAAGCACGGCAGTCTGAACAGTTTGTGTTCTGGAACTTGGTGCAATTTGACGTCACGAATTGATTCGACAAACAGCGATGACACTGCGTACAAGTTCCTGCACTTCCATTGCCACAACCTTGAAGGTACTCACCAACATTGCATGGCCTCAGGTTGCAATCTGAGCACACACGATCTGCACTTTGACTGCACGATGACACCTCGTACTGAAAGGAGGAACAAACCTTGCAGCCTAAACACTCTCCCATGGAACCGTTCCCACACCCACTTCGATAGAAAGCATCTGAACAACGCAATGACGAGCAGTTCAAACAAACTCGATTTGATAATGAGCTGCACGGAGAAAGCTGATACTGACTTGGCGAACAGATGCCACAATCCTCACAGCTGCCAGTCAGCCCGAAGCCACAGGATTGTAGATAACGTCCAGCCCCACAAACAACATGACTGCAGTTGCGACATGTCGTGTCTGACGTCCCGTTGCAGCCTCCGGCCTTGTACTCGCCCTCCCCGCACTCCCGACATCCCCGGCACGTCCCTGCCAGCCCAAGCAAGAGTCAGTCTCCCCTCCCCTCTCGGCCCTGCCCTGCCCAATTCCTACTATCGGCCCCCTCCCTCACTTGCCCTTGTTCTTCCGCGCCAAGTCCACATTCACCCATATTGCGGACTCTGGC